ATATATCCTATTTATTTATTAGAGGGATTAATGAAAATCTAATTAAGAGTGAAATAAACTATCCCAGGAATACATGGCAGAGGTCATTATTGACATTCATGTCAAAAATCTTCTCACTATCACTGCAGAAGCCAAAGAGTGGCCACAACTATTGGAAGACAAAATGTGATTGTCAGACAAGGCCGGTCTTTCCTAACAGATTAGGTACATAGCTAGGTTGAAAAAAAAAGTGAACCAAGTGCGACCACAAAAGATTTCCTTCTTTTTTAAAGAAATCTGTAAATCTGTTCCAAGTCTGGAATGAAAAGAAAGATAAAAAATGCAGTGCAATCAAATACTACAACCCCTGTATAAAACAGATCTGGGTGGTTAGGGCAAGAGCTGCTCCTCTGTTGCATTATGTTGTATGGAAAATTGATCTTTGCTCCTTTCTTTCAGCCTGTATGGTAAATGAAGAAGTATGTCCGCTTTTGGCTATACTGGATATCGCCTTTAAATACTAACAGAACGTCTTCAGCTTAACCTAGAAAACATAAGCAATTGTTCCTCCTTGTATGTTCAGCCTAATAACAAAACATCATTGGAAACCATTTATATTTTCTGTTTTGATACTGTAAAGCCTTACAACCCCCAGACCATAGGGCACAGCCTCTGACCTCTGACCTTATGAGTCCCATCATCCAGCTCCTCGTGAAGAAGATCTGGGTTCCTCTCTACATGTAGGTTCCAGCGATCCAGCTGCGCTATGGTGCCATCTTCAACATGGCAGAGGATTTTGGAGACAGGTTCATCTGTATAGCCCTGGCCAGAAGGAAGAGGAATGTGAAGGATCACCAAACTTAAAGCACTAGATACATTACACACCAACAGGATAAAATAGACAAATATGCATATTTTTAAAACATGTTTGAAATTAATTAACTTATTCCTTCATTTATTTCCAGTTAACCTTGTAGGAATTAAGGGGGAAGCAGGCAAAGCAAGCTTGTCCAGACTTCTTTGTTTAGATCAGTCTTCAGATTCTTCTACCAGATATTAACTAAGGTGTTCTCAGGTCATTTTAGAAACATAATTCAACTTCTGTGCATTGGTTCTGCCTTGGGGTAACCTTCAAATTGGACATGTCTTATAGACTCTTAAGGGCACCTTATAATTACTTTGCAATGTTTGACGCAGCTCTATTCACAGCACCCCCCCCCCCCCCTTAACTATCTACTATGTCCCATATTAGCATTCACAGCTCCTGCAGTGTCCCGTAGACCCATCTACACTCCCCCAGTCACCTGCAATGTCCCTCAGTCCCAACCACAACAATGAGTAAAACCAGAAATCCTGGGAAGAAACCTAATTTTTGCTGCTTGCACCCACAATCTCATACTTAGCTTGGATCAATTACTACAACACGTGCCAATTTGTTTTCCAGTAAAATTTTCTTTTATGACTACTCACACACTTACCCCTCCCCAGTTAAGGGTTCGAGCAAGGTCATTCCCAGTACCAAGAGGCAAAACAGCAACTGGAGGCTGAGGGTTCAACTGTAGCTCGTCCAAGACAGAAAGGATCCAGCCTACCTGTTATAGAAGAAAAATGGTATGATCTTCAGGACTAGACAGGACTGTCACACACATCACAATGGACTGTTTGTTCATTCCTACAATGAGAAAAGCTCTGGCAAAATGCAAATGAGTTGTCAGGTAGGTACATCATGAAACTCATTCCTCTTCTTCTAATATGACAGAGAAGGTGGTAGGCCACTGCTTAAGCATGCAGCACTGCCACGTGGGGGTAGAAGAAAGTATTAAGCCCTGTGTAAGCTCCAGGTTGTGACTTTCAGCAGGTCCCAACTTGTAGTTAACAAAGGGCTTAATTTAGGAGTAACAATATGCATCACTTTACTTAATTGAAACTCTATGACTAATTTGCCCACCTAAATAACTTTTACATTTTTAAGGACATAATGATCTCATTTGGTACACTGCCTTAATAAAAAAAAACCCTAATAACAGTTTTTTTCTATACTATAATTGTCTAAAAGCAATTACAGTATTAAACAGAGGCACAATGCCAGCAATAGGCTTTAGTGGCCTCCAAAACACACATTTATGGCTGATATAGTGATTACATGATCAGGAACCACTCTGATTAGTTCCCAGTCTTAAGTGGGTACCAAAGTTGTCAGTGACAGCAGTTGTCAAAAGGAGGACATTTATAAATATATCCTTAGCATGGAAGAAATGTTTATACCGTATAAAGATTGCGGGAAGAGTTTCACCTCTGTGCACAAAGCACAGCTAACTATGCAAAGTGGCAAATCCTATCACACGAAAGGATTTTGGGCAGATACTACCAGGATAGCATTTGTATTCACTTTCATTGTACACGTATAAGGTGTTTTGTCCACTGCAGCAGCCTAATTGTAGGTTTGAATGATGCCTAGATTTTAGGACAATAGAATGGGCAATGGACCATGGCATGTCTGGTCTGCTTACACATCTGGGTGCATTTTTACAAGAAAGTAATATGAACTACTAGAAACATAAAATGCCTACCGTCCCATCACCACCACAGGCAAGGATACGTAGATTTGGCACTTTTCTATACAGTTCCAGCCTGAAACAACAAGATTGAAAATAAAGTGATTATTTTTAATACCAAAAGACAAAACAGGCTGGTTAACATATAAAATGACACTGCCATATACAATGCTAGAGATTTAGGTAGAATCTGTGATGTGCTAGCTAGTGTAGAAAGTATAGTATGTCCCAGCCTCTGCCTTCCAGTATCTCTAGGGACAGGTCAGGGTGAGCATAACGCAGCAACTACCTGGTTGGTAAGGGCTCAGGACACCATAGGCCACCCTGTTCTCAACAAACAATCATGCTGCATGCAGTATTTGGTCATGGTTACTGTTAATGCTGTACATACAGGCCAGACCTTTTTTTCCAACTGCAGTTATCGTTTCATTTATTTAAAGAGGTGATAAAGCCCAGCTCAGCAAAACTTTACAATATCACAAGATGGCATCATAAGGATACTCACGCTTCTCTTGGCCCTTCCTGAGAGAGGTCAAAGACTTGCCGTGGATTTAAATACCACATGAACATCTGCAGCACTTTTGTACCCTGCAGGAACATAAAATGATGGAACAGCCAGTGAGGCATAAAACACAAATCAATTTAATAGTAACATTATCTAATAAAGAATAAATGTGTGTTATATGAGCCGCCCTTACCTGGTTTCCTCCACTTTTTGGGTTCACAAAGACCAGCAAAGGTTTCATGAGGGGTGAAGAGATGGGTTTTATAACAAAGGCCCGGCCTTTAATATCCTGTGAAGCAGAGAGGGGAGATTAGCCCAGCACATGTGAGTTTTAATGAGACAGAAACAACTAGCCACTTAGTTCTCTCTGGATGCAAATTGTATCTGGCAGGTGACAAGTTTTGAAACAATCCATGGGATGTAAAAACATTCAGGAGGGCGATCTTGGTGGAGGTTGGACCACCTAAATAACTCTAGTGTTACACATAATAGAGGTAAGAAATGGTAAATGGACTTGTAAAGTAGATTGCAGATTATATATTTATTTCTATGGTCAGTCTACCCAAAAATAACTCCATCTTTCTGGCCACTTTTAATATTACACTCATGTCCCCCCCTTTTACCTGCATATCGGGGATGTTCTCTCTCTGCAGCATCCAGATATCTTCTGTCTGCCACCACAATGGAGTACAAGTGCGATGATGTCCACACACTTCTAGTCCATTGACACTTTCCCCCGTCCTGTAACTGAAAGTTCATACCTCAGTATGGACAGGGGCAGGGAGGAAGATTCTGCAGGAGCCAGAGAATTGCACCTGCAAACCACTGAACGTTGTTGTAATGCTTTGCAATGCACAAAAAATAATAACTGCACATTTTCCCTTTATTAATGTGTGTGTGAATTTATAGATTTTTGCATAGGATTGACTATGCCGCCATCAAACTTCCTTCATTGTCCATTCAGCACGCTGTGGGCGGAGAGGTGACACCACTGTATTCCTATACTCTAACAGGAAAAGTGGTGTCACTCTCCAGATGTCTGCAGTGTCCAATTTTAAACTAACTGTAATTGTAAATCTAAAGAAATTGCTTTTTTTCCCCTCACCTCAAAGCCTTTTTTGCTGGCTTTCCTCTTAAATGACGTCCTTTTTTTCCGCCTACTGGAGTTTTTTGAGTTGACCTGCAAAATTAGAGGTGAAACAATTAAATTATACAATCAACCTGAAGTTACTGTTGAAATGCTACCTCCATCTTCTTATGAACAGCATGACATCTACTGTACGAGGTGTATAGACACATGCCCTGCCAGAGGGACAGAGTGGTTCTTATCAGATGCAGGGACTTTGGCTGACACACTGTTGTGTTTTGCAGTTCTACAATTACTGAAGAGCCAATGCTAGCACAAGACCACCCTGCAATATGGAAAAACTGAAATTAAAGTGCACCTGTGATTACTCACTCAATGACGCTAAAGGACATGAAGAGCTTTGAGCTCCTGTGGTTTCATTGTTGTTAACAATCCCTAACAAGGAGGACCCATTTTTGTTTGTGTCATTCATAGATACCTCTTGATCATTTGGCCACCACACAAGTCCTGCAACTACATCACAGCAGCAATACCTCTGGGGTGTACCTGTAGTCCTTTGAACAATAAAACAATATGCTGCACAAAAGTGTGTAAGAGGTATTGTCATTCTATTCTTGCTTTTTGTTCAATTGTAAAGGTATAAGGGTATTTTGGAAAGGTAATGCTATGACTTGCCTATTAAAGCGTATCTAAACCCAAATCAACTTCAGATTATCAGTCCTTAGATGGAGTAGATTTTTTTCACCTGGGGAACCTGCCAGTAACATACTTCCTGTGCTAGGTTGACAAAGCTTACTCACCATTTGTATCTGTGGAGGAGCAGTGTTGTCACTTTAGGCTGATAAATGGTTGTTACCTCCTGCATTACTTACTGGATCCAAGAATATCCTGTGTATACAGGTGGGTGCTTGTAGTGACCACGGATGGCACCAGGAACAATATACCAATATCAAGGATGTCACCAGCACACCAATTAAAGTGATCAGGCTCGTCATTCTGAACCTGATGAAGGGGTCCCACTGAGGCCCGAAAGTGATTGCAATTGAATGGCAATTTTTCATTACAATGGACAGTTGCTGACCACTTTAATCGGTGTGCTGGTGACAGGGGCGTCCCAAGGCTGGGTGTCACCCGGACCGAAGACCGGGTGACACCCCGCCGTGACGTCATAGCGTCATCTTGGTGATGGACGCCAGCAGAGAGAGGAGGGGACATTCATCCGGCGGGATGAGGTATGGCGCCGGATCCCCTCCTCTCTCCTGACACTGTCGGGCTCTCGGTCCGTGACCGAGTGCCCGACTTTTGATAGGGGTTGACACCGAAATGACTGTCAGTCATTTTAGTGTCAGCCAATGGTGGCACCCGGGTGCGAGCCGCACCACTCTTGTGACGCCACTGGCTGGTTACATCCTTGATATTCGTCACTTTAGGCTGGTCTCCTCATCTGGACTAAAAACACCTACCTTCCTACTTATCCTAAGTACGTAGTTTAAGGGCCAGTTCACACTCCCAACCTAGAGCAAAGGGGGGTGTTTAGTGCGTCACTGCTGTGTGCGTTCCAGCAGCTACCGCTCTGGTGTGTACTGGCCCTTAAGAAGATAGCTTGAAAAACTGATAACACTGTCTGAGATTTCAGTTCCGTACACAGGAAGTTACAAAGATAATGGATTTCTATAAGGATTTACAAGTATTTCTCTGTACTTGTAGAAAAAAAAGAATACAACCAATACATCTAAGAACTGCTAAGCTGCTATACCTTACATGTTTGTTCCTGGATTTAGATAAACTTTAGGTTCTGAAGTAAGCTCCACATTATGTGAATATAGACCATTGAGGAGGCTAGGCTGCGGATGATTTTTCTGTCCCTTGTTCTGCTGTGTTGAATGACAGATGATCTGGTCATACTTTCTACAAGGAGAAAGCATGGAGGAAAACTGGACTATTGTACGCTTAAAGTGACACTAAACTCAGGAGATAAATCTTAAAATGCATTCAAGTACCTTAACTGTTAACAACTGTATCTTATTTGTGTATCACTCGGCTGTAGATCCTCAAATCATCTCTGAATTGGTGCTGACACTGTCCTTCCTTCTGGAGGGTGGCTACTTATGTTCCCCATGGTCCCTGTGTGTGTTGTAAAGTAGTCACCCCTCCAAGCTCACTCCTGTGATGGACTACAATCTCATGTTTAGTTTACTAACTTGTTTCTAAATTGTAGTCCATCACAGGAGTGAGCTTGGAGCGGTGGCTACTTTACAACACACACCGGGACCATCGGGGAACAAAAGTAGTCACCCTCCAGAAGGAAGGACAGTGTCCGCACCAATTCAGAGATGATTTGAGGATCTACAGCCGAGTGATACACAAATGAAATACATTTTGGTAATTAGTTAAATTACTTGAATGTGTTTTTAAGATTTAACTCCTGAGTGTAGTGTCACTTTAAAAACAAAATCTTTTGAAATTCAAACCAAAATAACAGCGTTTACATTCCTTGCTCTTACCTTTCACAGCACCATTAATATTGCTACAGAACAGGTGCTCAGTAATGCAATATAAGGAATGAGTGGAACATTTGTAAAAACTGATGCGAAGGGAAGACAAGGCTGCTACAGATAAACCAATCACGTCTTTCCTTTAAATCTGCAAGCCACGTATAGAAATTAAATTTGATTGGTTGCTTTCAATTTGCTAATGTTTTTCTAAATCAGGCCGTACTTTCAGATAGAGGTTTATAAAATCGAATGACAGTATTAAACACAGAAGAAAGCCTTTTCCTGTGCTAAACCAATTCAACCAGTGAACCCATCTAAAACTACAAAATAAGGAGACATACAGTTCTTTGTTTTGTGCCTCACAGGTGTCACTAGTTTTGTGCAAGCATGTAAGTTATATTGTCAATAATATTGGTTCTGGTTCAGTGCACAAAATGACTGTCCCTTCTGTGAGTGACAGGTACACTTTAACTTGATATTTCAATCAAAGGTCCACCAAACCTAAAATACAGATTAGCTGATCCGATGAGCTTGTAACATTCAAGAGAAGTTTAAACAAAAACTTAAAGTTACAGAAGTTTCAAAATGGGATGCTATGTGTAACGTCAAATCTTCTTCTGCTGTGTACCCGTTAGGTCTCCACTTCTGAGCAGTCAGTATGAACTACATAAAGTAGATCTAAACCCAAATACTAAAATATTATATCATCTTTAACATGGTAATATAATACAAAAAAACAGGCACTTCCTGTTATAGGGTGACAGCTGTCTCTCAACTGTGCTCCTGCATTGTCACTAAGAATGAGCTCAGGTTTGACCCGAACCCAGACAGAACCTGAGCTTCTCTGAACAACACCACCCAAACAGCTGCGGGCCGGGCATTCCCCACCCCGTAGCTGCATGTAAATAAAGGCACAGGATGCTTGTGCTGACATCATTTACCTAATATGACCCCATAGCCATATAAGGTACATGTCATTTACTATATATAGGTATGTAGCCATATAAGGTCAATGATGTCATTGCATCCCGCCCCTTTGCTTACATCAAGCTGTAGGTGGGGAATGCCTCATCGGCAGCTGATTGGGCAAAACAGAAGGAGCCTCCTTCTGTGTTCGGAAGGAGCTTCTTTTATGTTCCGAGCAACCTCTTTCCAGGTTTCAGAGGAGCTCAGGTTTGGACCAGGTTCAGTCTGAACCAGAACTCATCCCTAGCTGCCATCCTGTAAACATGCACTCCTGGTGGAGGCTACAAGTGGCCATGTGAACACACATTTAGCAGGTATTGCCAACCCGTGTCACTGTCAGGAAGTCAGTGTAGAGCAATGATGTGAAGCCAATGTTAGAGTCAGTCAGTGTAGAACGGAAGTGGCTAAAAGGGCTGGAGGAGATCAGCAGCACTGAGATTTTTTTAAAAACCCTGAAAATTAGGGTTGCACAGATACCAAGTACAGTACATAGTCTTTTCTGAGAAAACACAGTGAGCAGAGCAAACTAAATGCTATCTAGTTAGGTTTTACATCTAAGCAAAGGGTTTACATCCAGAAAAAAGCAGCCTATGTTGAATCTATACCCTTGTATCCTCTCTGTTATATTTTGTGTTATTTGCTTACAGGCCGGTGATTGTGGGCAGGAGGTCTGTTCCATAGTATTTGTCATAGGAAAATGAAATCAGTGTCACACATTCCTGTCAGTTCAGGCTTTGTGCTGCTGTTCCTATCTTCTACCACAAGATGGTGCTGCTCTACAACTGTTAACAAGCAGCCTGTTATATGCAGCCCATGTCTTCGCCAAGCCTGAAAATAATTTGCCTTTGGCTAGAAAGAGGCTTCACAAATAATGCACCTAGCTCAATGAAAATTTATTTTCTTCTATATTTAAAAAAAAATCAGGAATTCAAGAGAGTCAGTGAGCTACTAACGATACCTGGAAAACATTGCAAATGAGCAAAAATCACCTTAACTGAGTCCTTTGTAACCCACTTCAGCAAGAATCCAGAGAGCCCTGCACATGGCTATGCAATTCTTTAAACCTGGGATTTTTTTACTTCCTCACTGTACTGCAGCCCCAGTGCTGATGTTTACCTACTATTCTACAAGCAGTTGTTGGAACAATAAAAGATGTATACAGTTAACTGTAAAGAAAATCACATTCCAAAACTGTGTGGCTTCACAGAGACTTCATTGGATGCTCTGTCAGTCTCTAGGTCAATCCTGCAGTTCCTGTAATGAGCCCTTTCTGCTTACAGGCCACAATTTTGATGTAAAACAAAGGTGTGGTACTTTATTTTTCCAGCAGAGATTTCTTGTTGTTTTATTTTTTTAACCCCTTATCACAACCTGACTCATTATGCCACAGTGTTTCCCCAGCTCTAATTAATACAAGCCATTGTTTTTCATACTGTTCATTGATAAGGGGTAATAAGCCTAAAACTACTCTATGCAATTTGCAGACAATGTCTCCACAATTTCTGGTGGTAAAACAAATCTGCACAGTTAAGCTGGCCCTACACTCTTTACGAGTGGATTTCATATTGAACATTTCATTATAATATCACATTATGGCCACTGGATGGCACTAAAGGAGCATAGGTGCAAAGTATTTATCTTCTTTGCTCCACCGCGCCATCTAGTGGCCATAAAGTGATATTACAAGTAGAATATTTGAAATTAATTCCTTTTGTAAAGAAAAAAAAAAAAGAAAACTCTTGTTTGTGCATACAATTTTGCACAGAATGATTTTTCACAGATATTTGAAGGGCATGTTGTCTATAAATCAACCCATAAGTGTGTTAATGTGAAGGTGGCCATACACTGTGGGAATTTTGGCCAGTTCTTAAGGAACTGTCAAAATTCCCAAAGTGGGTGCCGCTGTCAGCACCCTTTCGGACGGCATCCCTCGATCACCTGATCGAAGGAGGCGGTCAGAAAATCTTTGTATGTACAGAGCTGGTAACTCATTGGCCGGCGGCCGCTGTCAGAATACAAAGCATTGATGGAGGAGTCTGCTCTATTTTTCTCGTTCAGTCGGCGGGTTAAATGAAATATTTTTGAAAAATCAATTTTCTATGTATAATTTACAAATTATAGATAGCTCTGCTTCCTGCTATACAGTACAGTGCTGAACAGTTGCGCTTTACTGCTTATTCTGGATAGCAAGTCTATGGGACTGATTTACTGAAAGGGTAAACAGTTTACTTAGCAGACTCAGCACATGTTCACTTACATACTCAATCATTGGCAGGGAAATGTTTTAACTAGGCATTTACCTTGCTCACGAATGGGTGATCAAACGAATACAGCGGCACTAGGCGAAGTGGCTATTGGCTCAGGTGACAAAAAGGTCACCTCCACAGTAAGGCCCCATTCACACTGCGCGATTTGCAAATCGCGCGATTTGTCGCTCGATATCGCGCAAATGCTTGCATTGCAAAGAATGGAATCGCGGCAAAATCCACTCCAAAAAGGGTCCTTCTGTAGCGACGCACGACCCGCGACAGCAGGACCCTTTGCCCCATTGCCTTGGAGAGCGATATCGCGCGGTAAATAGCCGCGATATCGCAGGAATTACCGCACGATAAATCGCTCAATGTGAACGGGGCCTTAGGGAGACCAGGGCAGACTGAAGAAGGGACTCTCAGTGAGACGTTACTATTTCTATCTAGCTTAGGGATACAACACTGGTCACAGGACGTCACAATGGATCAGCTTGTATTCTGGGTTCAGCGTACCTTCAGTGGCGGTATCCAGGAAATATCATACGGAATTACAAAACCACCATGTGCACACCACATGCACACAGTCCATACACAAGAAGAATATTCAGTGACACAAACATGCAGGGAGAATAAACTCCAACCATCAAACAAGAGCCCGCATATCCAGAAAGCACCATGCCATTCTGCATCTGTCACTTTAAAGTGTATGTAAACCTTAAATCCATTTTCAGTATGTCTGGCATCATTCCCCACTATGTGAATCTGTTTCTTACCTGGTGATCCTGGCAGTAACAGCGATTCCTGTATCGGGATGACAACACTAAGCCATGGCCTCACACTTTGCAGCAAGGTTGTCAGCCCACCGTGTGAGCTTCTTCAGTTGGCCATTGGGCTGCCTATCAGGTCTATGATATAGGGAAGCCCAATAACCAACTAAAGAAGCAGGTAAAGCAGGCCGACAATGCAGATCTTACAAGCTGAGCTTGGTCTCACTGCTTCTTAGCTCTTACTGGTCACCAACACTGCTAATCACATGAGCGGACCAATAGGGAGACAGCGTAGGTGTGGCAGGGTTGGGTCATCCATCACTTATGCAGAAAATAAGATTTGGATATGTTTTCATCTGCCTATATACTGTATATTTGGTTCTATTATGATCCATTTCATGGAGTTGCTTGGTTTATGGCAGGTTTTGAAAAATGTTCCGGAGGGCTTGGCAGCGAAAGGGTTAAAGGGTCCCTACGACTCTAGAATTATATCTTACTTATAAATCATAAGACTTCATTTAGAACAGGTGGAGGGGCTAAGCGTCAGCTGCCATAGGTTTTAAGCATGTTCACTAAGGGCCCGTTCATACTAGATGCCGTGCGTTCCGGCCCGAACGCACTGCCTTGCATTGCGGACGGCTCATTTTTTAGTGGGGCAGGAGGGGGCGTGGCGGGCCATTCAAGTGAATGGCACCATAGCCACGCCCTCCGGCCGCAATGCGATCTGCCGCACGGGATCGCAAGGCACATTATGCCTGCGATCCAGTGCGATGAAAATAGTGCTTGCAGCATTTTGAATAGCCCGTCACGCCCCCTCCTGTCTTACAAAAAAGTGAGCCGGCCGCAATACGAGGCAGTGCGTTCTGGCCAGAATGGAGCCGGAACGCACTGCAACTGGTGTGAACGGGCCCTGAAGGTGGATATGGAGACATATACTATGTATCTTTTTTTATGGGTTTTGTTCTTTTTTTAGTAGAATGAAAGATCTGTCCTCATCTACATTGATCTCCCACAGACAGCTAATGTTCCCTTCTCTTATGGAGTATATGTAAATTCCAGAGTTTCTGGAACCTGCTCTCTACCGACATCTACTGGACACTCTCCTGCACTGCAGCAAAACCACTTTCCAGCAGCTGATCTCAATTAGTCACCTGTAAGGTCAGAATTCAAGCCTAGCTCCGTTAGTCTGTTACCTGCCTGGCTACACTGTGGTTGTCCACTTTGTGGAATTTGACCTGGGATTGTATATTGGAGTCTGGGTTTGCCTCGATTGTTTGCCTGCCTAAGCACGTGCCTATTTTTTATTCAGTAATTTGGTGTGCCTGCTAGCCAGCTGTAACCACCAGACCTTGTGAGTTGTGTCATAGGGCAGTAGCAATGTAACAGAGGTTCTAAATCTCTCCCCCCCCTTTCTAAAAACTAAAAAAAAAGTGTTTTGGATGGAGTTGGGCTTTGTGATAGAGGAAAGGAACGGAAGTGTGACAAAACCACAAACCTATAACAGCGCTCTTGATTCTGACAATACTCTGCGTTCTGGTTATACTGTACTATAATCACACAAGAAATGCCACCGCCTCTGTCTTTTCACAGAGGAAGAATATAAGTTATCAGAATTAAGCACTATCACCCGAGTGATCAGCACTGAGACTGATAGAGGCACTTGGCAATTAACAGCAGAAGAGAGCTCTTGTCATTAATCTTCTATGTAATAAAGTATTCCCTGGACGGTGTCATTAAGCACTCATAATTGCCAGTTTCTGTAGTGTCAGGGGTTGGGAATGTGTTTCCCTTGTTTAAGGTGCCCACACGCGCTAAAATCTGGTTTTGAGATTCTGTTTTGATTTATTTTTTAACCTGTTCCTTCAAAAAATGAACTTTCAGACATAATTTTTCATGTAACTAGAAAAATAAGATGTATGGTACCAGAAGAAAGTTGTGCGATGAAGGCAGTAAAACAACAGCACACGAAGTAAACACACCCCAAACGCCTACAGCTATGGCAATGGCTCTTCTCTCACTTCTATGCAAACATAAGCAAAGGCGTGATAAAATGCACAGCAAATAGGTCACTTGACAGTGGATGACCCCAGCCTGGGTGGCAACAATTCAAACAGTATATAAATGCCTGTACACACTTGAGCATGCGGTCATTTTATTCCAAACTCTTAAAGGATGTGGAGGGGCGAGGAGGAGGGAGCCACACTGTCTTCCACTGCACTTACTACATCCAAACAAGCCGTGAATGTTAACGAAAGGGAGTACCCACAATGCAACAGTGACAAGGCCACACCACTGGGAAAAAGAAGGTGCTGCTGGGTTAGTCCCTGGTGGGATCATGCGACTGCTGTGACACTCGGGTCATACATACGGGTGCTGTCCTGGGCATTGTCAGAGCAGATGGGCCGAGAGTAGGTGGACAGACCCTCACAGACAAAGAGTGACATGCAGTTACCTGAGGTTTCTTCACCTTAATGATCCAGCTGGGAGGGACGATGACAGCCGCGTGGGCGCCCAGGGAGCATGGTTCTTCTATGTGATGGAGCAGAAAACACGTCACCTTGTTGTGAAACTAAAGGAGAAAGAGGAGTAAATACAATTACAGACTGGTAAATATACCAACTCCTGATACATTGTAGTACTGCTTATAATACCATGACCAATTCCACCCAGTGTGTCCCCATTTCATAGATTTCCCATGACTTCCTGTACCTGGGATCACACAGTGGTAGTGTAAATCTCATAAACTGGGATACAAACAACAAAATAACCGTTGACAGAGGATCAAAAGTTTCCCCGCTCTTTAAAACTTTAAGAACTTGGCTTAAAAGCAACTTGAGCACTTTGCCCATTCAGCCCACACTCCAACCCACCTATACTCACCTTCCTCATGCAACCCTCCACCCCAACAACACTTCTTCAGCAGTAGAAACAATCTACTTATGATCTACTCTCTGGAAGCACCTGGTGTTTGCAATGGCTCCAACTGAGAAACAGTGTGGTACAAAAGTGCAGGCAAGACATGTATATGTGACATGGGGGTGGGCTGCTAAGAGACTCTTTCACTGTGCCCTGAATGGGCAAAGTAATAGAGTTTCATCAAAGTTAAACTCCAGGAAGATGCAAGCAGTGCAAGTACCTCAATTGGACTTGGCAGCAACCTCTTGCACTCCTCTGTACAGCAGAGCTCAGACTGGGGGAGGGAGAAGTATCACAAGCAGCCAGTCAGTTAATGTTCTAACAAGGGGCATAGGAGGAGAGAGCAGAGAGACCAAGAGATGATTTCCATCTGTCGGTTTTCCTTTTCGCTGTCCAGACACAGGCCGGGGGAGGAACAAGACCTGATCAGGTCATCTGAACTGCCAAACTAGACTGATCTGTGTGGCAGAGCTGTGTGAATCTCAGAGCTAGATTGACAGGAATACAAACCCTTTGGCAGGTAAAACAGCTGTTTTTCTAGAGTTCCAGTTTAAAGCCAGATTTTAATCTGCTTATATTTTGCCTTCCCATTCAGCAGTATGCTAATTCCATCTTTAAAGGCCTCATTCACACGAGAAAAGGCCGGAACGTACAGATCCATGCTGCGTGCACAGCCCTATCGGGCAGCTCCCAGGAAGGACAGGTGCTGCGTGTGATTAGTACGCAGCTCCTGTCTTTCTCTATGGGATTACGCGGCCATACGCCGCCCTACGATCACCCTTCTGCGCACCCGTGCGGGTGTCCGTACTCGTACACTGACAGGATAGATCCTGTCTGCAATCGAGACGGGACACCCGCACCCGTACAGACCTGCACTTGGTGTGAGCGTAGGGTGGCATACGGCCGCGTAATCCCATAGAGAAGGACAGGGGCTGCGTACTAATCACACGCAGCACCTGTCCTTCCCGGGAGCTGCCCGATACGGCCGTGCACGTAGCGCGGAGCTGTACGTGTTGGCCGATTCCAGTGTGAATGAGGCCAAATAATCATCACTAGGTTTCTGTGCATCTCTATGCAATGCAGGTAGGTCATGGGGGGGGGGTTGCTTGCATCAAGATCACAGCACCCTGCTTCAGTACTCCTCTAAAGAGTCAAAATGCCTTGATGGGTGGATGTCACTCTGGTGGAATCAGCATTTTTAGACAGGATTTTTTTTACCAGGCTTATTTGCATGCAAACTGCACTTGGTAACACCATCATATGAAAATGAGCCTCCATGATTGAGGGCCGGTGCAGACCTACGCGATCTGGGATACAAGTACCTTATTTCTGTGATACACGACTGTTTTGTTCGGAAGCACGGGCGGAATCGCGGCGGGAAACTGCGCAATCCGCCCAGCGCGACTGGGGTGCCATTAGTAAATAATGACACCCACAGCGCGATCTGTGCACACCTAGGCGACTCCTGACGCACATTGTGAGAAGCTCTCACAATCAGAAATTAGAGGAAGCAATTTCAGTCCAGGAGAGGAACTTGTATGACTGTGCTAGACTGAAAGGAAGGGCGGAGTTCAGCTTTAAGAAAAACATCTCTATGGGAGCCACATGCGCCGACAGGAATAAAGTGCTGGAATTGCAATAACGAGGAACATCTTATATTTGTACATGAAGTGGCAGCCCTCGTACTCTATATATAGAAGGAGGAGGTACACTGCGACTTTGTACAATGGTTTTTCTGTGAAGAGAGAGCCGCGGTAAACAGCGATGTAATTACAACGCACGCGGGCTGTGTGGGTATACAGTGGGATTGCTATGAGTAATAGCTGACTGGAGAACAGAGTGAGACTATCATTACCCGGCATGGCCCATGTTAATTCCAGGTTACAGTCATCGCTCCCTCCGCGCAGCGTCTGGAAGACAGATGCTTTAAGTGCGCTCTTTTCCTGCGCAGACATGATACTAATAACTCCGGCGGAAGTGTTTTCCTACCTTTCCAAGCCGAACTCCTACTACTTCTGTCTCTTCTAGGATAAACCTCGTGTAGTCACAGGGTTAAAGTGGAACTCCAGGCAAACAGAACAAACACGCTTTAGTTCAGATGTGTATTCATTTAGAAATCATTATATGTAGTTTCAAATCTTGCCAGCACAATTGTATCCCTTTATATCAGGGGCGGGCAAACTCCAGCCCCTCCATCATGCATCTGCCTCTGGGAGCCATGCCTGTGACTGTCACAGTCTTGCAGTGCCTCATGGGACTTGTAGTTGCACTACAGCTTAAGGACCGGAGTTTGCCTTCCCCTGCTATATATTAGACATTAAAATTTCATTTCGTTCTAAATACAAATTTCATTTCATTCGGATGCAGCCGAATTTCCAAATTCAAGCGTGTCCAAAGGTGATCAAATCCGAATGTTCCTGTAAGGAAAATTTGGATCTGTCCAAATTTCGTTCCAAATGAAACTAAATCGGACATGTGACTGTTCTGTGGCCAATCAGATGGGTTTTTTTGGCTGTTGGGGGTTGTATTACAGGCACGGTCATGTGACTTCCTGTTGCGGATCTTTTCACAGCGAAAATTTGGACAGATACAAAATCCAAATAGCAAACTTATCGAATTTGAGATCCAAAAAATTAAAGAAATAAAAATCTGAATTGATCCGAAAGGAAACAAATTTCTTGCGAGGTTACATGTCTGCTTTACAATATTTCCCCACAATCGGAAACTGGATAATGGAATCTTAAGTAGAAGTGAAGTGGGCTTCACTTCTACTTCATTCAGGACAGTGTAGATAATTGTTATGACCATTATCAGTTTGTTTGTTTGGTTTTTTTTGCTTTCTGCGTTCCATTGGGGACATTTTACTTAATTAATCTCTCAAAAGAAAATGAAAATCTCCTTTTAGACATCACAAAAACAAATTTCCTCACTGGAAGCTTTGACTTCGCATCCTATGACAATGGTCACCAGGACCAATAATGAGGGTTAATTTTCCCAGCGGGAACACACACAGCAATACATTCCAGATACAGAGAGCAAATCAGTAGTGTTTGGAACACTTTTCTGACAGTCCCCCCCACACCTGTAACTGGTTGCTAGGACATTGTTGGCTGCCTAGTGTTCTTGGTTGCTAGGATGCTGTTGGCTGCACAGCATCATTGGTTGCTAGGACACTATCAGCTGCATAGCTGACAGCTTCCTAGCAACCAATAATGGTATGCAATTTACAGCGCCCTGGCAAACAATGCCTTTATGCAGCTGACAGTATCCCAGCAAACAATGATGCTATACAGCCTGGGAGCTGAATAGGCACTAAGCATGGAGTATCCAGCATGCACACTCCAGCCTTTGTGCCACCCCCCACGTGCCTCCATGTAACAACTTTATGTACGTGTTCCTGATAGGTACGTGTATCTGTCCCTAGTTACGCACTAACTTTAGACTGTTTTCTTATGAGTGTCTACAACACTCTTGATGAAGCCCAGGGAGAGGGTCCAATCCCCCCCTACTCTATACAAAGATACAGATACATGAAGTCCATTAATGTAGGGGTGACAAGTAGAATTTAAAATGTTCACTGTTAAGGTTATAACTTACCGCTTGCTTGCACCAAGAACAGCTGATAGCCACTATTTCCTTACTGTGGAATGAGAACTTCTGTTGAAAACCCTGCGGATAAAGGAAGACAAGTTTTAGAACACTGGCTCCATACCTGATGCTGGGAATGTTCTGTGGTTGTGTTCGGAGTCTTTCTGTTACAATGAGTTGCCTTATCAAGACATCTTTTAGTTATTTATGAGCCATACATTTTAAAGAAAGAAGCTGGCAACACACTGTGACATCCAGCGTATGTGAAGCTTTATTGTTCCAGACAACCCACACAAAACCTCACCTGCGACCTCCTCTCCTGACACGTTTAACCATAAAAATGGCTTAATTGGGTGAAATGCGTCAAGGTAGTCCCTGAGGTAGGCTGAGCTTTGTGTTGCTTCTTTTATGCCTGATTTTACAGTGAACCGCCACCTTCTTTCTTTTGAATTTATGGTCACTTTGGGGAAAAGGCGAGCGTCCAATTAGCTAAGGGGTTGACCGAGCATATAGGGCTTGGATGTGGCGAGCCTCCCTCCTTAACCTGTTTTATCCTTTAGAAAGTTTGCAATTTTGTTTAGCCCCTTGTGATTGACATACCCCTGCTACACATCACTATCAGGAGGGTGATATTACTATTCAGTACTGCTGCTTTGAAACTTCTTGGTTCCCCTGCCTGATGGTTAGACTATGAAAGGGCACCATCACACTGGTGAAGTCCCTTTTGCCCTCTGCTACACCTATAGTCCCTGTTAAAAAGTAGTAAGCTTGCAGTATAAAGCGTAGGCACCACATACCTGAGGCAAGCTCCAAAACCTTGCTGCTGCAGCAGAATAACAGCTCGTTCCTGATACTGCCAACACTTGCTGCCCCTTTGTCCCTGCTGCACATTCATAGTATTCTTAGCAACACTCCAATACTAATAGGAAAATGCGGAAACTATTTATTTCCTATGCTTCTCAGCTCAATCTAGTGGCCATAGAGTAGTATTTTCGCAATTTTACTTTCAACCTGGAAAGAAAATATGCTAGTAATTAGGGGGTGCCCCTAGGTATTTTGCCAACTGAGGCTGTGCTGGGCTGGGCTGGGTTGGAGGGGGGCGCTGGTGATGCACGTTACCTGGGGGGGGTGTAGGTGAGGCACATTACCTCGGTGCACGTTACCGCCCAGCTCACTGACATTATTGGTTGCCGGGAGCATCCCATGTTGTCTTGGCAGCCTAGGACGCTCTAGCTGGAAAGGGGGCTGGCCTCAGGCTGCCTTATTTTAGGGACAGCCCTGCTAATAACATGTGTTTTTGCCTATATTCACAGAGAACGAATGTACACGCAATTTTGCAGGAAGAATGGCTCTGCAAATTGTTTATAAATACTCCACCCCCCTTTCCCCAGTGCGGGCTCCTAATGTCGCCATTTTTTTTCAGATTTTATAAGAGATATGTTTATACTTTTTTTTAACCCTGTGGATGCCAGTGGGTTGGTAACTATAGAACTTTATTGAGAGTATCCGGTGTGCAGTCAGTGAGTTGAGTGAATCTTGTGTGAAAACATTTATAAATAGACCGCCTAAGTCATTAACAATCGAACAAGTTTCATTAAAAATGACATCATGGCACAAGTGGAACTTAAACAAACAAGACTCTAACAAAAGCTTATTTCTTCAACAATAATATTTTGGAGGAAATGATTGATCTAATGAATGTTCCTGCTCCCCGCTCTGCAGATAAAACTATAAATTATAAAGCCAAGCGGTGCACTCAGAAGTGATGACTCAACGCTCAGCTCAACGCAGTTAATAAAAAAACATAAATATAAAATCCCATTTTTTTTTTACTCTGTAGCAAATTAAAAAAAGTTCTGAAGAAATGGTGCCAAATATGATTGTGTTCCAGAACTGCCAGACGTGTCCTCATTTAGTTAAAGAGGTTTCCCATTTTCAAGAGGAGCAGTCAGATTGATACTAAGCTGTGAAGTATTCAGCACTGAGCACGATTCTTACTTCAATGAACCTGAATGTGTTTTTATGGCTCCCCCATGTAACGTATATGTGATACCAATCGCTAAAATCTCATATCAGTTTTTAACTTGAACTCCGGCCTTCCCTTTAGTCTTGCACAGTTGTACCGGCTCCACTCCTGGACTGAAATTGCTTATTTTGATTTGATTTTACTGATCACCGTGAGCTTTTCACATCATACATTGGAATAGGAGTGCCCACTAGGTCGAATGCAACAGCAGAGAAACAGAAGAAAGACAGCAGAGAAAGTGAGAGAAGAGACAGAAGATAGAAACAAGAGAGAGCGAGGAGAGAGAGAGAAGAGACAGCCAAGAGAGAGGGCCGGTTCACACCACAACGTCTGCATTCCAGAGTGTTCGGCCTCTAGAACCCACTGGAACGCAAGTCGGGCGGCTCACAGCGTTTAGGGGTGGAAGGGGGCGTGGGATTGTATTGAAGTCAATGGCACCGCAGCCATGCCCCACGCCCGCAGTGCGATCGCTCCGCACCCGGAATGCCTGCGTTCCAGTCCAGTGCGATCTGCAAAAATAGTGCAGCATTTTTGCAGATCGCGCTGGACTGGAACGCAGGCACTAATGTGCCTGTATTCCGGGTGCATTAGAAGCTGCAGCAAGTCAGATAGAGCCCACCTCATTTCCTGGCTGAAGGATGTCCACCATTATCTATCCCTTTCTTCCCCAGCTTGACTGTCCCTTTCACTCATTGGATATAGAATATCGTGCAAAGTTCATTTATTTCACTAATGCAACTTAAAAGGTGAAACTAATGGCCGCAAAAGTGGAAATATACTTTAGAGCAAATATACTGTAATCATAAACTTTGAGCATGAGGAATGGTATCATATTTGGAATGGATAGATGAATATACAGTACTTTTTTATTTCTTTCCTCCGCTTTCCCTCTAGTGGTCAGAAATGGCTTTGTTCCCATTTAAAACATGCCGTGTGCCAACACACCTGAGGAAAAAAATGACAAGTTCTGTTATTTATATATATATATATATATATAAATTTTACATTTTTGCATGCTGTGCCATATTTCCATTACTGTAATACATGCAGTATACATATTTGTTGATTCTTACTACTATTTCCTTTAGTGCACTTCAATGGCCCTCTGATCCTGATCAACAACTGCTGAGATAAAATTTCAGCCAAACAGTGAGTCCATTGTTTTCAATTGGGGCCTGGCTGATTGACTGGCACTGCACTGAAAGAAATGAGTCACAAGGCACAACCACTGTGCAGCACTGCTAAGCTGGAAGCAGAGCCTGCATACATAGGAACTATGGCTGCCCTTGTGTACACATATCATTTTAAACTATACACAATAAATAAATATTTAACGTGGAACTCAAGGCAATTACTTAAAAAAGACCAGTAATTGCAGTTATATATTATTTTAAAATTGATCACATGCATTTTAAATACAGCTATTGAAAGTAGTTGAATTTGACTTTACTTAAAACTCTTGTAATCTTCTGTACAGAATCATTTGGACTGAGGAAGGGAGGGGCTGCACTATGAGCCAATCAGGTGTGCTGCATTCATATGTGCTGACAAGTAACATGCTAATAGGAGGAAAGAGGAGAGAGAGAAAACCCTATCAGTCGGTTTCCATTCTATAGCAGTCCAGTCAGAGACAGGGGGCGGGGAGGTGACCTAGCTTTGTTGCTTAACTGCAGTAGAGAAAATGTAAGGTCACCAGTGGTGTGTGGAAGAGCTGTATAAATCTCAGGACTGGCTGGATAGAAAAAGAAATCCTTCAGCAGTCATGACAACTCCTCTATGTATTCCATCTGTGAATTTAGCTATAAAACATTGATGATTTACATCAATCTGATCACATTTCATAGAAGTATCTCTAAAAAAACATACAAAATGATTTTCCTTTATTTGAGTCTGCTGGGACTAGCAACAGGCTCTCTAGACTGCTAATAGATTTGATCAAAACAGTTCTTCAGAACCGACATGGGACATAAATCCTGTTATAAAGATAACAACTAGACATCCTGGCAATATGGAACAGCAAGTGAGCAAAAATGTGTCGCATCAAAAACAACCATTTCAATAACTCAAAACTCATATACACTTAAAACACCATTAAACCATTGTGACTACAGGAAATCCTCCCAGGACAGCCTGTAATGCTTTTGCCAGGAGAATGTTGGGAACCGCGATAGGGAATCCAGCACTGATGCGCCGACCGTAGTCAAAGATGAACAATATGGTGAAAGATGAGAGTGTTTATCGCTGCTGCTCGGCTCTCTTTCCCATCTTTAATCCCTTCTTCCGAGTTAAATATATCCCTCAGATCCCAGAGGATTCGCTGACAGAATGAGCACAGGATATGGCAAGTGCTACACAAAGATTGTATGCATTTATTATGTTGTATGAACGCATTTCTTAGACTCGGGACGGTGTCGGGTTTAAAATATTCACATTTTGTCCCATTATCTCAAATTTGAAAGTGGAATAAAAACTGAGAACTTACAGGAGAACTCTGACAAAGTGTAAACCAACTTTTGGATAAACTGTGTCAAGGAGGAATCGGATGCAAAAAGGTCACTTGACATAAAAGTAATGTGCTGGGGCGGCGTTGGAGAGGTACTTTGGCTGCTGGTCGCAGGTGTCCGGGCTTTCAGCACCAAAAACTTTCCTGGAAAGACACCCTGTCACCAAACCATTCATTGTAACCTCAATGTTCCTATTGGAATAAATGTGCATTTACCATATGTAATGCATGTTGTTTACCTGTAAATGTCTTCCTTGTGTGGACCCCCAAAACCCCTGAGACTGTGTATCAAATAACTGCCCAAGGTTTATTTTTTATGAGATACAGTTTTTTTACCCTCTTTTGCATCTCAGTGTTGCTGATCTCCTACAGACTATTTATGGCACTTCCACAGTGGCAGAACTATCACCATAGTGACCCAGTACGTTGCTAAGTCTGTGACCGCCAGCAGTGGAGGAGGAGGTTGGGCCAGGCGTCGACAGTGGAGGAGGAGGCGGGGCCCAGCATCGGCAGCAGAGGAGGAGGCGGGGGCCCAGCGACCGTGGAGGGGGAGAAGATCAGGGCTGACAGGTAAGAGGTGTGCCAGCCCACCTGAGAACCTACAGAGCCCACCATAGAGGGTCTATGGGGGGCTCTGCAGGGTCACTTTCAGGTGGGCTGTAAATGAGCAAATGCAGAATGATGAGCAAATGCAAAATGCTTTCAGGTGCATTTAGCCTGCATTTGAGATCTGGTCAAGATGCGTTCAGGGATAGAGATTGATTTCTAACCACATGTAATCGTATTACATACGATTACAGGCTGAGTGCCAGCGCACTGCAGCTTTCAAATGCAGCCGCTGTCAACCGATCATTAACTTGAATGGGTGACAGCTGCCACTTCCAATCCAGTGAAGTCTTGTTAGCCTCATATGAAATAGCAATAAAGCTGAGTGTAAAAAAATAAAAATTTTAATTTAAAGTAACATAAAAAATGCAAAAAAAAATGTTTTTAAAGTCCCCCGCCCCCCACCTGTACGCACATACTATGCAAACACGCGTCTGATGCGCCTACGTGCAAAAACTAAAATTGTGCCACACATGTTACATATCGTTGGGAAGAGTCGGAGTGAGAACAATAATTCTGGGCCCATCAATCACTGTTAGCACTAAACTGATGAGCCGTAAAAGTGTTTAAAGCGTCATCTATGTGAAATTTTGGTTATTGGGTTTTTTTGCGGTTTCCCGCACGCAAGCTATTTTAAGGCTTGGCATGTTTGGTGTCTATTTACCCGTCATGAACCCGTCTTTTATATTTTACAAAATAATTATATTCTATTTCTGTGCACTAAATTCCATTTTAGTGCATTTTATCCTGAAAATACTTGTTTGATAAACATTTACGCAAATACCGTGCAACATATACAATACAGCAGAAGAACTGTGCTGTCGGCTCAAACAGAAAGTTAGGACTTCATTGGATTTCTGGCAGAGCAACAGTTATTTTCTGTACTTGCAGCATTTTTAAAAAGACAAACCATGGAGAAATGTGTATGTACAGCAGAGATATACTGCACACAGTTGTTTTTATTCGTTACTGTGCCCAGACATAAACTTTAAGTTCACTACAATATTAGAGAGCAGGGCTTGTAGCCATATTTACTGCTAGTGATGAAGAATATATGATAGCCTTCACTTGCACTGTGTGTGAACCAACCACAAGAAGTGGGATATTTGCAGTATGTGCAGCTGTCATGGCAAGTGTCAGGAAGCATGTTTAGGAAATATCATGTTAATACGCTGGGACCCGGGCCAAACTCTGACAGGTGAACGGCTTAGAAAGGAGGAGGGTAACTGGCTGCAATATCCTGGTAGGTAAGAAAATGAGTTTACTTTATTTAAAGGAGAACTATGGGGTTAAGGCTTTTCCCCATGGTTCTCCTTAGCGTAACGGGAGGACACAAACTAGGCCCTCCCGTCACCCTAGGCTCAGTATACCGCGAGCTGTAGCTCACGGTATACTGAGACGCCGCAGTATACCGCAAGCTGCTGCTCGCGGTATACTGAGACGCCGCAGCAGATCCCGACAATTAAGCCGGGATCCGCCCTGCTGCGTGATTGACAGCTGGCTCTGCCTATCTAGAGGCAGAGCCAGCTGTACCCGCCAGCGCTGGCAGATCGGAGCGGGGGGAGAGGGGAATCCCCCCCCCCCGCCTGTCACGGCAGAGAGCCATGACAGGATCGAGAGGTGAGCGAACGCCGGTATGTGTTTGCTCACCTCCCGATCTACTGAGCCGACCTGTGACAGTCTCATTGTCACAGGTCGGCTAGAACTATGAGGTGAGTGAAAAGCACTCACCTCATAGTTCTCCTTTAATAGCCTTTAATTTATGAAGCACGTACCAAAACAAACCGGTGTAATGCGACATTAGGGTGCTGTCCATGGTAACTACATTCCAGCTGCCATTTCTCTAGACTAAGTTAAAAACAAAAGCCAAATTAAAGAAAGAGATTGGCTGCCACACTAAAAAAACAGGATTTTGTCTTACCTGTAAATTTTGTTTCTTGGAGTACAAGTAATTCTTGAACAAATGGGTTATACAGCTACCATCAGGTGATCGGACACTGGCAAATCAAAACTGTTAGGACAGCACAATATAACCCCTTCCACTCCCAGCATGCCTAGTTTTGTAGCTAGCAATACATGAGTAGATCACAGACACACAGAGTGAAGGGTCCTGTGATGTACTTCAATTATTATTATACAGGATTTATATAGCGCCAATAGTTTGCTCAGCACCAATAAACGGATATTATAGGTAAGTCAAAAAATCCTGTTTTCTTATTCGTAGGACACGGGGAGTTCATTCTTGAATGGATTGGGCATCCAAAAGTAGATCTACACAGGGGCTTGCAACGAACCCCAACAGGGAACTATAGCAGAATTCAGATGGCCCCCTGAAGAACCTTGTAGCCAAAGCTAGGATATCCGCAGAGACCTGACCGTCCACCTGATAAAACTTGGCAAAAGTTTAAACAGAGGACCAGGTTGGGATGCTTGCAGATTTAGTCCTCATTCAGATGTGGCATACACCGTGTGGTGTGCATGTCCGTAAACGGGCCGATCCAGGGAGGGACAGGTGCTGCGTGTAATTACACGCAGCAGCCTGTTCTTCCCTATGGGAGGATGCGGCTGAACGCTGTAATCCGCACACCCGAACTTGCACATCCATGCGGGTCCGGTTGTTCGCAATTGAACGCAGAAAGTGTGCGTCCAGGTGCAGACATCCGGACCCGCACGGATGTACAAGTTTGGGTGTGCAGATGACAGTGTACAGCCCTGTGTTCCCATGGGGAAGAACAGGCTGCTGCATGCAATTACACACACCTGTCCCTACCGTGATTGGCCCGCTTACAGGCGTGCACGCCGCACGGACATGTATGCCCTGTCTGAATGAGACCTTAGAATAACAAAGCCTGATGCTGGAAGGCCCAAGAAGTATTGACGCTCCTAGTAGAGTAAGCCCTATCTGGAAGGAGGGGAACTTCAGCCAACTTCTAATAGGCCTAAGTGATAGTTCACTGAATCCAACTAGCGATACCGATAGTAGAACGAGAAGCTGAGTGCCCCATACGAGGACCCTTAGGAATGATGAAAGGGGAGTCAGGCTTGTGGATGGCAACAGTAGCAGACAGGTAAACACAAACAGCCCTGAACATGACAGGGCGTTTAACTCTTCCCTACTCTATCTAAACTAAAAATTATTTTTAAAAAGTTTGTGCTTTAGATATACTTAAAGCTGAAATTTAATCTGCTTTTATTTTGCCTTCTCTGGTTCCTCCACTATGTCCCTTTCATCAACATAATGACAGGTCGGTGACAGGAAAAGATTTATTTAACAACCTTTATGTTTTTATTTCATACATTATTTGAGACCCATACTTGTCATCACTAGGTATCTGTTCTTCTCTATGCAATGCAGGCAAATAGTTGGAGGGGTTGGCAGGGCGCTGTACATAACTTTCTGAAAATATTGCAGCGCCCGGCCTCAGTACTCCTCTCAGGAGCTTTCAACCCTGATGCAAGAAGTGAACTGGTTCTTTTGAGGAGTTATGAAAATACTAAAATGCCTTGATGGATGTTGGTCTGGAAGGGTGGGCATTCCTAGGAAGGCTGCATTTGTACACAGACCACCCCAAGGAAATACACACGTGATGCTGAGCCTTCATGATTGGAAGAACTGAAATCCAGTGAATAAAAAAGTCAGGCCAAGAACAGTAAGGCTGGGGAGGAAGAGCTTGATGATGGATGTCCTTCAGACTGGAAAATCTTACTTTCTGCATCATCCAATGTACATTGTGAGAGTTTCAGTGCAGGAGAGGAGACGGTACAACTGTGCAAGAATGAAAGTTAGACGGACTATAATTTTTGTAAGGCACTAAGCCTCAGTTTGGTAACCTGCTCAAGTACCAACATTTCGTCACTAAATGTTCAGGACAAAGCAGCACAACATACAGGAGAACAGGTCCTCTTACCTTTCCGCAGTGTCTGCACTTCCCTTCTTGCCGTCGTCGATGTACCCAATGATGCCTCACCAGATTCTGCTGGTTAGAACAACAAGAAAAATGTCTGACCTGAGGAAAAACCATTAGAGCTTGGGTCAGGCTTGAATCCAGGGTGGGTACGGACAGCAACACACAGAGGAGGACTAAGGACTGGGGGAGACAAGCCTATATCCTGGAGGTAAATAGACCATACCAACATGGGTCCATGAACAGCCAGTCTTTACACAAGAGCAAGAAGAGAGCAAAGTCTTTTTATGATCAGATATTTTAACTGAACCTATTTCTTCTTTTACCAGTAAAGAAGATAGAAATGACACTGAATACAGAGTCAATCTATACGTTCTCTTACTTTTTTTATCTGGATTTCTACAAGAGAGTATCAATGACTCCTATTCTCAATACAGGGCTATAAAAAAGTAATGCCTGTTGAGACATAGAATGTTTATGCAGAGATGGAAACAATCTTATAAATGCCTGTACACTTCCACATAATCCCCATAACGTTAGATTCTTTTTGGTCATCGTTTTACCCAGACCTTAAATCCAGTTCGGAAAGATTCCACTGCTTCAGAGCTGTTTTATCTTTCTGCAGGTCCTCATATCTCATTCCATGGATACAATCCTTCAACCTACCAAACAGGTAGAAGTCAGACAGTGCCAAATCTGGGCTGTAGGTGCGACGAGGGACCACTGAGCAGCTAATTTTGGCAATCATGTGACTGGTGGCATCAGAGGTGTGTGGGTATGATGTAGCTGTGTGGCCTGATGGCCTTCTTCACCAATATTCTTCAGCAATAGAGATATCTTCAGCAATATATATGTCACTGCTGGCTTTGCTCCTTTATCCAAAAAGTTAATGAGAAAGATGTCTTGGTTACACCGGAGCAATGAAGGCACAGCTGGATGTAAACAGAATATTGGTACCTGATATCAGTTATCGGCCTGAAAGGTGGCCCATAATCAGTATCAGTATCAGATCCTGAATTTCCCTATTGGTCCTTTAATATGATGGATGGATTGCCTACCTGACTGACCTGTGACAGGTGGATTGCCTACCTGACCGACATGTGACAGGTTTACTTTAATTTTAAGCAAACAACAGGTTTACTTGTAGTCTATCTTGGCTGTGTTCTAATAAATACCTTATAACGTGTAACCAATAAAGTGGACCTCCATGGGGAAGTAATAAGCCACCACTATAATGCAACACTTCCCCCCATCAATCAGACATAAGTATTCTTTCGTTAGCATCAACCTTGTAGCATCAAAGTTACCTGCAGAAACTTAGCTTTCCATTATGCATTTTGTCAGCTGCAAACCCTATTTTCTCCGAGCAGAGGTTGTGAAATGCTTGCAGGCTAACATCATTATGGGAACTGATGTTCCCAGCAACCTGCAACCTCCTCATATAGTACAGCAGGATGAGAACAGCTGATGTCTGACTGTGTGTGTCACAGCGCTTGCCTGCCTTGGTCTGCATTCTAGTTGGGGCTGCAGCGGTGACACTGGAACTAAATGGATATTTTTCCTTTGGTCACTTTGCTGATATCTGATACTGTTGGTGAGGGAAGATATCAATGACAACTCAGGAACAACCTCACAGAACAAAGCATGGTGCAGAGATTTTACTTTCGGCTTCAGGTGTAGGTAAATCAGCAGTAAGGAGGGAAGTCAGTGGCATTCCAAGCAAGCGTCTGTATAATATATTATAATTTGTATAATATTACATAGGTCAAATACAGTAGGTCAGGCTAACTTAACTATGTGACATTATTGGGTTGATTTACTAAAGACAAATAAGCTGTTCAATTTGCAAGAGAGGTTTTCCTTAGCTTAGTGAATGTGGTGAAGCTCTGCTGACTTCCGTTATCCAATCATGTGCAAGCAAAAATACTGTTTGTTTGTTTTTTATTTTGCTTGCATGTGATTGGGTATTCTTCAAGAATTTTCACCACATTCACTAAGCTATGGGAAAATTCCCTTGCAAAGTGAACAGCCTATTTGCCTTTATCGAATCGACCCCATGATGTCACATGAGTCAGATAGGTCAGGCTATCTGACCTTTTGGGTTGATTTACTAAAGGCAAATAGGCTGCTCACTTAGCAAATTGAATTTTCATTTTGCAAGGGAATTGATAATATAGTATTAAATACATTTACATTATTAAATTAAAGAATTTACATTATTAGATAATGGACATCAGCAGAGCTTCACCTCATTCACTAAGCTAATGATAGCTTAGTGAATGAGGTGAAGCTCTGCTGACATCCATTATTTAATAATGTGGAAGCAAAAAAAGTTCCCTTTGCAAGTATTCTTTGCAAAGTGAATTTTCATCTCATTCACTAAGCTAAGTGCAAATTCCATTGTGCAGTGAACATGCTCTATTCCTTTAGTAAATCAACCCCTATATTTTACATACACGCGCTTGGAGTGCTGGTGACTTTCCTCCTTACTACTGGTTTTTCATGACGCCATCCATTGCAGTCATTACAAACACCCCATTTTGATTACATCCAGTCCAGCACCTTCAGAATTGTGCAGCTCTTCACAAGATTTGCTCCGTAAATAATTCAGGACATTTTCTAAAGCTCCAGAAATCTACAGTTAACCAGTTTCTTCTGCTCCAATACCATAATATATACTTAATTGTATAATATATTTTGGGAATCATAATAAATGGCTCACTTTGAGAAGCACTTCCTAAAAAATCCTTGAATTTTAGATTTTGACTCTGTGTGTAGAAGCCGTAAAACCAATGACAAGGACGTTGTGGCCTCATTTAGATACAAGGGCTGCTGGATTCAGATTGAAGTTCTTAACCTTTAGTTTTGTGGTCCTCTCACACACTTACCTCCCTCAGAGCCCGTGAGGTCGCATCACGAAAAGTTGGCTTGCATCTAAAATTAATCTGGAGTTTTCACAGAAAGAGGAAAATTAGGTCATCTATAAAAAGCAAACCATTGGAAATGCATTTTTAATAGCTTTGATATTTTTAAAATAGCACTCCTTTATTTTAAATGATTTTAATTATTTCCAAAGTAGAATCCTTACCTAACACATTGTACCCTTGTTTTGAAATATACTTTCATGTAAATTCCTGTAAAATTTCATTTATTTCAACTCACTCAGATAAAAATGTATAAAATCAGAAGCTTAACCACAAGGTCAAAAGAATGTCTACTTAGGCAGGGGTGTCAAACTAAATTTAATCGTGGGCCGCATCAACATTATGGTTGCCCTCAAAGGTATCTGTAAGAATATATAAATGTATCTAATCTTTATCATAATTGCCTCTGCATTCGATTATCACTGGTTTTAATAATAACTTAATACCTAGATCTGAAAGTAGAAGTCTAGGAAATGGCCTGGTGGGCCGGATTCGGCCCCTGGGCCTTGAGTTTGACACATGTGACTTAGAGGGTTTACAAATATCTATTTAGAGGTCACCTGTCTTTACAGAAATGATCAGAATGGCATTCCTAGGCTGCTTCTACAAATGCCTGTCTCGTGACTTCCAATACTTCCAATATTCAGTCAAGCAAAGACCTGGAACAAGTATGCACCCAGCAAACCCGGAACTGGTTTGCATCTTCTTTCTAGTTAGAGGACCAGCATGACAACTGGGCAACTGTCATTTTCTGGAGATAAATAATTCTATACCTTTTTTTTTTTCATCTTCTCATGGCAGGTTTCCTTTAAAGAGAATCTGAATGGGTAAAGTGACAGGTTCTCTTGTTAGGAATTCCACCACCACTAATACCTTTGCTGTGTTTTCGTGCTGCTTCATTCCTCTGTCGGTGGCATGGGTCCAGTCCCTGTGTAAACTCCATGTCAGACACTGTTGAGCTTACACAGGGTTGATGACCTTCTTTCCTACCCCACATGACAGAGTTTGGGCCTGGCGATTGGCCACTCATCCTGAGAGGAAGAGGAGAAAGTAAAATTCTCCCCCATACCTGGAAGTACTGGTTAATTATCGAGGGCTCCAAAGGACAAAAGAAAAGGCAAGGGAGTGCGGCAAAGGCATCATTAGGTGGGGGTGCCCTTACAAGAGAACTTGTCACTTTGCGCTGAATGGGCAAAGTGACTAATTCTCATGTTCAATATTAATAAGAAAATTAGCAGTGTTCCAGACCAGTTTAGGGGGAAATTATCTGGATTCCAGGTTACGGCCAGTAGATGGGGCCCTTATACCTTTTCTAGCTGATCCATGCAGGCAGCGTGGACGACGATTTTACAAGCTGCACATTTTCTCCGCACGGCAGACTTCTGGTGGAAAAGGAAACACAAACACAGTGTTAACATGATCAGAAGTGAGTTTTTACACATACCAGAGGTGTAAGAGTGTCTACCACAGAGACAGGGAATGCTTTTACACGCTACATTTGGTAATTCTGAATGTAGGCTCTCAAGCAGATCAGGCACAAGGTAAGTACGGGCCCTTCTATATCCAATACATTCAACAGTCTGACACATGATTAGATTGCTCACAGACTTTATTTTCATTTTTTTATTTTTTAAAGCTACTTCGTTTGGTAGGAACATCTTCGTCTAAACCTTTGATGAGAGTGAGGCCAATGAGCAACTGTGCAGCATCCCACTGCTTCTTCTCTTAAACTGGCCACAAACATTAGATGAGGATCTCCCATATTCTGCCAGATTGGGCAACCACTTGATGACTATGGGGTACCATAAGACAGGCCTGCACGATTGTTCATAAAGTGACACTAAACTGAGGATTTAAACCATAAAAATGTATTCAAGTTCCTTAACTAGGGTGGCAACAATTAATCGATTAAAGAGAGAGAGAGAGATATTTATAATTATATTTCTCCTACTTTTATGGATACTTTAACACAGATTTCCCCAGTCATGACTGTTTGTCATGTCTGGGGAAGCAACAACACCATAAAAACTTGTCGAGATACATAACCAGCCGATCATCCCTTGGTATCTGCTGTTGCCATGACAATACAGTGTTTCTAATCCTAAGTGACCATTTTGTACATCGAAAGGGTTTTTTATTGTTTAAAAAAAAAAAAGATCCACATTGCATTTTGCTAAAACAGATTTAATTAGGATGTACATTTCCCCGTTAATGGGAATTCCTCTTAAAAAAAAAGTCATTGGAAATTATATCCAATTGTCTTAGTATAGTAAAACTTAATTACAATGCTTTTAACTCTGTTTAAAAAGGAAACATTTTCTTCCATGAGCTTTAGAAATGAAATTGCTGCTTTACATGCAGAAAAGTACTTAATGCTTCTGGGGGCTCCCAGGGGCCCGATGTTCAAGCAGGACATTTTGAAATCAAACTGCTCCCTCGCCGCTGTCCACAGACACAGTAACACAGAATGGCAGGACCATCCCTAGGGGGAAAGGACCAAACTCGCACACACTAATTCTTCTCCATGGCAACCCACGTTACCATGGCAACTGCCTAAAAATCCACAGGTCGATATTGGGAGCTAATTGCTCGGCAAGTTCACTGCAGGGGATGAGCAGAGATGATGGGTTATAAACTTCAATAAAACTGATATGATTTTAGATTTTACTGCTGGTGCAAAATCCAGAGCGTCTCCAGGTTAAAGTGCCTCTGCGGCGAATGTGCCGGATACGCTCTGACCGCTATTGTAACCGCTGAGTCATTTTAACAATTAAAGGGGACCTGCAACCAGAAAGCTAGATACATAGAGGAGGATTTATGAAAACTGGAGCAGACAGAATATGGAGCAGTTGCCCATGGCAACCAATCAGCTTCTAGCTTTCATTTGCAAAGCTTAACTGTACAAACTGAAGAGAGAAGCTGATTGGTTACTGTGCACAGCTGCACCAGATTATGTCTGCTCCAGTTTTGATACATTTCCCGCATACTATATGTTCACTGTTGCACCTGCAAAAGTATTTCTAATTGCATTCAGCCCATCTTGTTTAGCCAGCAAGGTGACAACGCTATTTAGTACTGCAGCTTTTTATGTCAATTTTTCTCTTGTAAAGTGTAAACACCTCCCTACTTATCTCCCTTTGCTTGAAGCATGTCAGGATGACGGAAAACAATAAAGTCTAATTGGTACAAAAAGAGTCTATCAAACGTTGACAGCCAACGCGTTTCAGGGGTTATCGCCCCATCGGCTTTACTGTGTAGAAGGAAATCTGGACGAGTGGTTAAACCCTGGGTTTAATGCTTACTAAGCTGTACTTAAGAAGTCTCTATCTACAGCTTACTAAGATTTTAACCCAGGCACTAACCACTGGTCCAGATTCTTCCTGCACAATAAACCTAAGCCCTGATGAAGCGGGACTTGTGTATTGCCCCTGAAACGCATTGGATGTAAGCTCTTGTAACAAATAAACATTACAATCTATGGCATTTTTTTATGGCCTTTCTATAAAAAATATACTTTCTGTTTATAGGGTTCTTATAGTTCCGATAGTGGAAGTAGTAAGTGAATCTAAAGCCAAAATGTTTGGCTTCATTTTGGATAAAGTATGAAAGGATTAGAACCCCTATCAGGTTTTTATTGCTGTGTGCATGTCCACTGAGATTCGTCCTCTCTATTTGTCCTGGTGACCATTGTCCCTGGGTCAGAAAGTGAAAGGAAATCCAACATTTTACAATGGTCACCAAAACAAAAATAAAGGGCAATTCTTCCAATGGTCACACCTGTTCCAGTAACAACTAGAGATTTCCCCTCACTTTGGAGAGATTTGCTCTAATTTTCTGTTAAGTTTCTGGGACAGGAAGTGAAGGGAATCTCCCCGGTGGGACAGCAACAAAAAACAACCTTAAGGTGCCCATACACCTTGCGATTATCGTTCGAAAAATGATCGAGAACGGATTTTCGTACGATAATCGGCCAGTTGATGAGAAGTGAACAATCAGAATTACTGCACATGCGCAAACGAAAATCCGTTCTGTTGATCGACAAAATTCGGTCAGTTAGTATTGATAACGAACAATAACAGATATCCACATTAGACATGTAAGCTGGGGGAAAATTCGGTTCGGTTATTTCTTTATTTCGGGTTTCAGACGAAATCTGAATTTTCGTTAGTTTCGGATGAGCTTCTGACTATTCATTGCGAATAACACAGAAAACCATATACAGTTATTAATACTGAAGCTGAATCTCCCAGGCCCGAATGGCATTCAGGATCTGAATTTCAGAATGGCATTACGGGATCCAAAATTCGGAAATGGACATTCGGATTCGGACACATTCGGATGCATTGAGATTCGGAAATTCGGATGTGTCCGAATTTCGGAAAATTGGTACGAATTTCGATGGATGTGCAGCTCTGGGTCGGAATGTAGCCGCGTGCTGCTAAGTCCTCACATAGGGATGTCCAAATGGCTGCATGCTATTGCAAGCTGCATCTTTCCATCTGAGGAGCAGGTCTAAGCACAGGTGTGAGCCCTTAGTATGTGGCTCATGAGCCGGCAAACGGCAGTGCTCATTTTTTTTGCCTAGTGGCAGATTACCTTTAAAATAATAAAATAATGTTCTGCTGTGCCAATGGCCTGGGGTATTCCTTTACCCTATTGGGCATTCCTGAATGGGTAATCTGTTTTGGATTTTTTATTTTTATTCTTAAATATTACAGAATTTGAAATCGGTGCCCCCTTTCAAAGCAGACAGATACAGTATAAGAATTAATTAGAATAATTATGTATTAATTCTAGTTAGTCAAAAATGTTTTATATCTTTGTATCATCTTCCAACTATGCCCTAGACTCTGCACTGTGAGCCAAACACAGTTACATTGCACAGTGATGTTAAGCCAATGTGTTTTCAGGCACTGGGAGCTAGAGAGGGAGATTCTCAGGAAGAGAGCATACAGAGGACTTCAGGTTTGGGGTAATGCCATTTTATAGTCTAACGAGTAGGCAATGACACACAAAGTTTTAAGGCTACAGTAGTAAATACTGGTATCACCAGACTAGCTGAATACATTTATTCCAATACTCTATTTAGTTTATCTGATTTAAATTCTGTTTGGCTCTGCCCAAATATCTTCAAACTTTAATCAAGCATATTGTTTTTGGAGATGGGAAATCTGACATATGGTTAGTACACAATTACTCAAAGGTAATAAATTGACTCCCAAGGGCCGGACTGTACTCACTGAAAATTTGACTTGGCAGTTATCTTCCCCCAGGTAACACAGGTCCCCTGACACATTAGTCTCCTGCCACAGGTGTTCTCCATTCACTGCGTTCTCCTGCAAGGTAAAAATGCAATCATTCCTTCTAGCCAAATTCTACACATAAACTGCATACAGGTACAAGTAGCTCATTAGCATCACCAGAGGTAAATCTGTGACAAATGCTATCAATGTTACAGAACCACATTATGAGGCAGATTTTAGAGTGCCCCTCTTTTCTTTTAGCCTTCAAAATCTGTTCTACAGAACTTAAAAACTGACAAAATATCTTTATTACCTTTTGTATCACTTGCCCCTCCTACTAGATTGTAAGCTCTCACAAGCAGGGCCCTCCTAACCTTATTGTACTGAAATTGTATTGTATTATAAATTGTATTGTACCTGTACTGTCTCCCCCATTTTGTAAAGCGCTGCGTAAACGGTTAGCGCTATATAAATCCTGTATAATAATAATATTAATAATAATAAATGTATATTTATCATTCTATAATCCTATAGGGGTAACAATATTACCACAATTCAGATATGTAAACGACACCCTATTTCTATTAATAAAGCAGCCCTGAAGTCAGACTCTGTTCTAAGGGAATGGAGAAGTGCAACTTAGGCTTCATTCACACATTAGCATTTTTTCTGCGTGTACGCGCAAAACACAAAATCCCATACATTTTATTGTAACTTGTTCACACCTGTGAGGCACATGCGTGACATGAAAACACACATTGCGCATAAAAGTACAAGCGTGATATTCTGGGTGATTCCGCGTGTTCCGGCTCCAGTAGCAACCGCAAACTTGCGGAAACCGCACGTATGGTAAAATATGCGCATTTTCGCGCTGCACATACGAACGAGCGGAAAACTGTGCTGAAATGAAAAATGCTGATGTGTGAACAGATCCTAAGGAGCATGTGCAGGTCAGTGTGCAATCCCGGCATCTGTCGGATGCCAGAGTGAATGATCTTTCATAAACATGCACAGAAAAAGTTACGTCATCTCGGCCCAGCCAATCTAATTGGTCCAATATGCCGAACCTGGATGATGTATGCTGAATCCGGAGGAAGCTGGGGAGATAATGGCGCCGACAAGGACATGTCGTCTCTAGAGCAGCGTTCCCCAACCTTTGAAAGCATGAAAAATGTCGAGGCACCCCATTCTAAAAAAGCATAAGTGTAAAAATTGACGTGTGGTTACCCACAAAATTTATACCAGACCCTTATCCTAGATAGGGGTACGATATGGATTTTAAGGGGGGACCCAGGCAAAAAAGAAAACAAATGACGAGTCCCCCCCTTTCACATCATAAGCCCCACTCTTTCCATCAGGATCCCCCTACCCATCAGAGTCGCCCCTTTACATCAGAGTACGCCCTTTACATAAGAATCTCCCTTCACATCACAGTCCTCAGCACTCCTTGTCATTAGAATCTTACCTTATAATTTTCACCACAGTGCAACTGTATGGCAGAGAGCGGGACATGGAGCAAGTCTGGACAGAGGCGGACGTCTGTCCACTTCTCAATGCTGGGGGAGGTCCTGGATGATGCCTATCCTGGATTAGCATCATGTATTTCCATGGTGCTGGTGGTCGGCTCGCCTGCACCATGGAAATGTATGGCACTGTGGACAGGGTGCCATGGCACTGGTTCAGAAAAGCTGCACTAGAGTGTAGGTGAGTATAGCTCCTCTCAGAAACTGCATGGAGAGGCCCACACTGCATTTAAGTGTTTGTTATGCACATTAAAGTATATATAAAGCCAAAACTTAATTTTGGATAGAGTAGGAAACCCGTGTAATTTTTAATTTTTTTTGCCATCTGTGTCCCATTTAGGTGATTTCCCTTCCTGTCTTGTAGACACAACAGGAAGTGAGAGGAAATCTCTCTGGACAAGACCCCCTTTTAAATAGTTGTCACCAGAACAAATGTCTGCTTCGGAAGATTTCTTCTCCATTTCTGTTCTGGTGGCAAGTCAAAATTTGGGATTTTGTCTACATTTTATTCCCAGTGACAATGGTCCCCAGGAGTGAGTAAAACTTCAAAGCCGGTGCACAGACAACAACAGTTTTGGCTTTAGATACACTTTAACATGGCCACATATTTACTATAATACACAGTAACATTGCACCAGATCTAGTGTGAACAATATTATTGTTACCACTATAATTATACAAGGCCCTTATGGCTGAAGATCACACATACAAAGACCCAGAGATCCCCTAAATCAAAAAGATAAACCCTACAGTCCAGTCCAGGGATGTCCGCGGCTCCTTCGCGGGTCCATTGGAGACAGTGAGGGTGGGGCAGTGCACAGGGGCCAGGTGCTGAAGTCCGGAGCGGGAAATCGCTTTCCTATAGGGAAGACAAAGAAACATGGATCAAAAACAAAAACAAAACACATTTTTTGTGCCTTTCTTCAATATATAGAATGGAACACACTATGGAACAGAGAATACTGGAGCAAAAATGGGGCCGCTGCCTGGAGATATTAATCAGGTTTAATCTTCCAGATAAAGTAAGGAATCGGATTATGTATTGTGGGTTACAGATTAACTTTTCTAGATCATACACATATTAAAATACCAACAATACAAGCACACTGATTGCACAATTCCTAACTCTGTAGCTGTGTAACAATGTCTTCTTCTCAGTACTGCCCACAAAATAGAAGGTTTTGGTGTGTGAGTTAGCGCTGACTGGTTAGTGGTGGTAGTATGAACCCAAAGATGGCGCACTCAGAGGGTCATAATATATAGGACCCATATATTGGTCCTTGGCTGCTCAACTGTGGATGCGGCCAGTTGAGGTGCTGATTATTCTCAAAGTACTATCGGTTAATACATTCCTTCGCATAGGTTACTCCCAGCACCCAAGCTTCCCAAATACTACAGCAAATATGTAATTTTCTTTTATCCATAGCTCTGAAGAAGAGGTGCCATCATCCCCTGAGATGAGCTGACTGACTTAAAAAAGTTAGATTGATGACCCTTTGTATAAGGTGCTCCTCATTTGCCACAGATTAAAATATATGGCTGATATATGGCCCAGATAACCCCATAAATAAATCCAGTGCCCCAAGACTTAATGGACCACCCATCTGAGACCTACATGAGTGCCTATGTCCCAAAAGCAACTATTCTCATGATAAACTCTTCCATAGATTACAATCCCCAATTTGGATACACAAGTCCCCTCTACAATTCATAGATGGTTAAAGGAAACGAGCAGTAAGTAGATAACTATATATAAGCTCCTCGAGGACAGGGGCTGATGTTAAACTGCCCTATGCAAGCAACTGTGTAAATTGTTGGTGCTATTTACATTTGTAAATACCTGAAATAAATTATTATGTTGTATTTGAGGTGGAAAGGTTAGCTTTCTCAGATAAGAAAAATATCAGAAATCATGTTAACCATATCGATAATTAAGTCATACTATTATTATATGGACCCTTCCTACCTACCAATTCTGCATATTGGTTAGTGAGATCCTAGATTAAACAACCAATAGATTAAACAACCAATAGGGTCTAGTAGCAATCAGAATTATGCCTATAGGTTAGTGAGGCCGCCCTTCAGATTAAACAACCAATAGAGTGTCAAAGACATCAGGATCATGCCTCTGCAGGAAAAGTTGGGATTTGCATATAACATTAGCTGCCCACATCTCTGGATCTGTTGTTCATTTTGATGTAAGGTTTTCCCTGCAGATAACCTCTGCTCATATTATGTCATCATACTGTATGTTTGATTCCCCAGGTTTGTCCCGGGTGTATTTAGATCTAGCACTCTATAAAACCGATAATCTCCAACATAATAATATAACAATCAAGTCCTAAAACATTCCAGCATACAGTGACACTTAATAAGAGGAGTGCATTGGGTTAAGGTGCGGATTCTGTCTGGAAAATATAATATTTTATATTTTACAGTGTAACTGGTTACCCGCAGCTGTCACCATCGCTGTGTCATTCTTTGAATCATCTCGGCTGTCTCTTTTCATCATCTTCCCCATATATCTCCTCACAGATATGACACGCATTCCCCGGATTCGCGGGGAAAACACTGGGCCTCGTGGAGGCGGATGACAGTACAGTGTGCTGTGCATAGCATCTAGACTGAAGGCGCCTTTAGCTTTGGTAAAAAGCTGGGGGATGCATGGAATTTATAGGGAGAGTCCACATGATATGAGTCCATGTACTGTTCATAATTTCATCGGACCTGATTGGCCACTGATTGGATTCTATTAAAGTGGACTTTTCATTAACTTAACATGTCTGCATGAACAAATCCAATTGTCAGCACCAATTCAGAGATGATTTGAGGATCTACAGCCGTGATACATTTCTGTTAATCATTAAAGGAGAACTATGTGGTGAGGGATTTCCACTCATCCTCATAGTTAGAGCTGACCTGTGACAAAGAAACTCACTTCCTGATCGTCTCCCTGCAGTGAGCGGTGACTGTCAGTCACCGATCCCCGCAGGGATTCGCCCATCCCCTCTCCAATCGCCAGCAATGAGTAGAGGAATGAATAGGGGAGGGGGCGGGCATAGCTGGCTCTGCCTCTAGATAGTCAGAGTCCGCTGTCACTCACGCAGCAGGGTGGATCTTGACAGTATTGTCGGGATCCGTCCCGGCTGCAGCACTGTCAGTATATCATGGGCAATAGCGCACTATATACTGAGCTTTGGGTCACGGGAGGAGGTTAGTATATCTCCTCCCGAGACTCTAAAGAGAACTATGGGAGAAAAACACTTACCCCATAGTTCTCCTTTAAAGGACTTGAATTTGTAAAGATTTAACTCCTGAGTTTAGTGTAACTTTAAAGAGCAACAACCTGAGTGGCAGCGAGTATTGTATGGCACACATGTGCGCATATACTGTACAGCAAAGCCGTGCAGGGGTTAATGGTAGAGCTGCAGCTAACGATTATTTTCAAAATCGATTAGTTAGCCGATTATTAAGTTCGATTAATCGGTTAATCGGATAAACAATCAAATACATTTTAAAAAATGGCTCCAGTGATGGACTACTAGTTTGTATTGACAGGAGCAAGCTTGGAGCGGTGGAAGTAAAAAAGAAAAAAAGTGTGGTGTGCAATATAGTGAAATGGAAAGTGTAAAATTATACAGAAATCAATGCAGAATTGCACCAGCTATAGAGGACTACTAATCCCAGCAATACAATATACAGCGCAATGCAGAATATCACCAGCTATAGAGGAGCACAACAAATCCCAGCAATAGTAAATTATAGCTGGTGGTATTCTGCATTGCGCTGAATAATGTACTGTTGCTGGGTTTTGTAGTCCTCTATAGCCAGTGGTATTCGGCAGTGCACCACTGTATAATGTATTATTGCTGGGATTTGTAGTGCTCCTCTATAGCTGGTGGAATTCCACATGGCGCTGTATAATGTATTATTGCTGGGATTTGTAGTCCTATGTAGTCTATACAGCGCAGTGCAGAATATCACCAACTATAGAGTACAACAAATCCCAGCAATAGTACATTATACATACAGTATATAATGTATTGCTGGGATTTGTATTCCTATGTATAATATAGAGCACAATGTACCATCAGCTATAGAGTAATACAAATCCCAGCAATACATTATAGAGCACCATGTGTGGGAAAGTGCAGGCTTACCTGAGCAGTCTTCCAGCAACTTGCTTCTGAGATTGGGCCTGTCAATCTGCCGCTGTCATCCCCCCACACCTGCTCCTCCTTACTACATCTCCCCGCGTCCCTGTGCCGAGGGAGAATGTGGGCGGGCGGTGAGTGTGAGGCGGGAAGGAGGTGCGGCGTGTAGAGCGTGGATGCGGGTCTGGCAGCGTTGAGCGTGAGTTGGGGAGGAGGTGCGGTGCGCAGCGTGTGTGGAGCCGTGAACAGGGCCAACTGATCAGAAGCCGATTAATCGATTATTGAAAAAGTTGAAAACTTTTTCAATAATCGATTATAATCGATTATGTCGATTAGTTGTTGCAGCCCTAGTTAATGGAGCAAATTAGATTTCTGCTGAGGCCTCCCAGCCACAGGCCATAATGCTGTTTTCTCTCTCTCTCTCTCTCTCTCTCTCTCTCTCTCTCTCTCTCTCTCATCTATTTATTTGACCGATAAATGCCAAATGGTCATTACGTTCCGATTTTCCACTCGTGTGGACAGCATTGATATTTATATCTTCACCGCAGACAACAAAGCGTATTCAATTCACACCAATTATACAGCTTAACGAACGCGTTTCCTAAATCGCTATCTGCCGGCTCAATTCTGTGCAGGACAATGGTGGACAAATAGTTTTCTGGGATTTGTGGCTCCAGAATCCTCCCAGAAGTCTGCTTCAAAAACGAGCAACAATGTGCAACAAGTACAATTTTCACTTCAGTTTGTCCTGATGACCATTATCAGAGGCAGAAAGCAATGCGAGTGGAAATCTTCCAATGGGGACACCTGTTCCCGTGACAACTGTCTAACGGGGGAATATTTTGCAAAAACTTTTTGTCATTTCCTGTTGCGTCCCTTCCAATCCTTAGTACAGCAGCGCTTAGAAGTTGCGGAAGCAGCCAATTATGGCTTGTTCACACCAAATGCAGACCAGATCTGCATGAGTTTCTGCACATGCAGTGCAGTGTGTTTTGCAGTGTTTTTGCCTCGTTCCGGGCCGTTTTTGTACAAAATATATTTATATTTTTTTATTTTTGCCTAAAATGGCCTTTCAGTGCGTTCCAGGGTGTTTGCATTAATTTTTATGTGCATGCATGCGTTTTGGTGCATTCCAGAGCAGGAAAAATAGGACATGATGCAGTTTTTCCACATGCACTGGAACTGAACGCTGTGGTGTGAACTAGAGCCCAAAAAACCATTGGAATACATTGGACGCAGTTTTGATCCGTTCTGGAACCGCTCTGCATCTGCTCGGTGCTTGGTGTGAACAAGCCTTAGACTTTATTGCATGCTGAAACAGAACTTGTTGATAGGAGGAGAGAGGAAGGAGCTGGTCTTATCAGTCTTCCTCCTTCATTCACAGGCTGGGGGTGGGAGTGTGACCAAGGTGTACTGGTTAAACACAGCGTAGGAAAGGCAGGTCACCCCCCTGTGCTGTCTGGCAGGACTCTAAAGCTCACAAATAACCGGACAAATGTACAAATCCATCTCCTATGTATGTATTCCAGTGGTGGATTCAGCAGCGTATCAGGAGTCCAGCTTTAAAATGAGATTTGCTCAGGATCTTTCAAAGGCGATGAATTTTTAATACGCTAATAGCTAAACGTGAGCCCCACTGCAAACTGAGAGGAGCTTCCGTATAACATATCTAAGCCTCGCTGCACTGAGCTACATGGGTGATATT